TTCTCAGGTAGTTCCTTAGTTTAGGTGGCTGTGGCTTACATTTTTTGGACCTTAGTGAGGACTGGCAGCATTGCCAGGCTTTTCCCAAGCATTTCAGAATCCTTATGGCTTGCAAATGCCCTGAGATCTACAGACCTCACAGCATTTTAGCTTGCAAATTAGTAGTTGGCTGGTTGTCAGTTGGGGAAAAGAGAGAGCTGTAAATTCTGTAATAAATAATAAATTAGGGTAAACATAACAATATTATTCTGCAGACATCATGGTGCAGAGGAGTCACTCCTTTCCATAAAGTCATGTGGGACTGTGAAAAGGGATGCATCCTTCATTTCCAGCCCTGTGTTTTATTTTTTCTATCCCAGCCTGCAACTCTTGGCTGCAGCTCTGCTGAACTTCTGAGCCTGTGTAGCTTCTTGTGGGATCTGTAATTACTCTCTTCTCAGACCACTTGCTTGGTTTCTGGCAACAGCAGGACAACAGGTTACTCTAGGCATTATAAAGCTTTTCATGGTAATCATGCTAAAGATAACAGATAAAATAGCAGCACACAGCTGTCCCCAGCCTGGCAGCACTCACACCTTTGGGTGTGTTGGTCTGTTCTTCCCTCCCGTGTCCACACAACTTCCCAGCTGTGCTCAGCTGTTTGCAGTGACTGGTTTGATTGGGCAGATACACTGCCTGTAGCACCCTTCTGCTGCCACTTAGCCTGCCTTGCAAGTGCTCATACTTCATGCCGGAGTTGGTTTTTTCCTCCCTCCCTCTGACTTGCTTTCCTTTGCCTTGTTTATTTGCAGATAGGGTGTTCTGTGTCTGGTATTTCATTCCTGCACTTCAGCCCCTGCCCCAGGCTGTGGTACCTGACTTAGGAGAGGTTGTTTTCAGGGCAGAGCATCTTGTAAAGAGAATTTTAAAAGCACTTAGTGTTTCAGAGTTGATTTATAGCTTGTCTGCACAGGCAGGCTTTCATAGAATATTTTTGTATTAAACTTTTTCCGGGTAATTAACCTACGATAACTATGTCCACATCCTTGGCTTCATCCTTCTTGTCCAAATAGTTTTTTCAACCACAGGTGAGATGTGGGAAGGCACTGCATGGAGCATTGCATCCTCACTGAGGTCCATGTTTTGCAGCTCTGTGTTAAGTGATCTCTTATTCAGGGAAAGTGATCTCTTATTCAGGGAGGCTCTGGAACAAGGAGTCCCTCCCTGTACTGAGTTGCCAAATGTCACTGCCTGCTCCTTGCCTTTCTTCAGATCTGCTGTATGGCTTTTGGATACTTTGTCTCTGACAGAGAAGCTCTGAAATAGTGCATTGCTGCATAAGAAAATTGTGGTTTTGGCTTGACATTGTATGAAATCACTGTCTCTTCCTCTCTTGCCTTTTGGAAGCTTCTTTTCTAATTTACTAAAAGCTGAGCTTTCTGCTTGTTGCTTGTGCTGTTACCATATCTCATTGTTTGCTGGTGCAGCTGAACTCTTCTTTGGGCAACCCAGAAGAGTAGAGGGGAGTCCAACTGATAAAGCTCCTCTCTAAAAGACGCAGACCTGCTTCTCACTCACCAGGTCTTTCATGCCAAAGGCACTTCTGATTATTCCATTCCTTCATGGAGATACTTGTGTAGATGAGAGGTGAGCTGACACCAACTTTTCATGCTTGCAGCCTGCAGCTGATTTAACCTGAAGAAAGAGCTCTCTCCTTCAGGAAGGAGGAGATGCAGTATCTAAAGTACATACCTTTAGATCCAGTTGCTTCAAGTCACTTAATTTAGAAGCATGGGCACAGGACAGAATCCTTAACCTGTGTATTTTGCAGTAGTTAGACTCCCAAAGGAGAGATAAGGCTGCCTGTAAGGCATCTTCAGCTACATGAGAATACAGGGAATGCAGGTTTTACCTCTGTGCAGGGTGGTACACTACGATGAGAGACAACCTGGGTTTGCTGTTGAAGCTCCTTGCTGTGTTTCTGCCTTTTCCAGTTTCAATATTTTATTTTAGTGCTTCAGAACTGCCTGGCAGGTGTTGCTCCCCCACAACTGCAGTAAAGTTTTGGTAAGCTTAACATCCTTTCCTGTAAGCAGACAAGATTTTCTATAGCAGGGGAAAGAAAACTCACCCAAATGCTAGTAAATCATGTAAGTTGCAGTATGTTAAAGACCATTAAGTCTGTCTTTGTATTTCCCCAAGTGGTTTTTTACACTTCTCTGGAACTGTGTATCCAAGAGTAAGCAAACAGATTTTGAACTTTGGCCCATCTTTGTGTACCATTTTCATGGTGACAAGTAATTGCTTTTCTTTTTCCTTCATTTCCTTCTGATTCTTCTTTCTTCAGATGTCCCGTATCCAGCTGTGAGTTCTGTTTTGCCTTTCTATACCACACTACTGTCTAGAGCCTGCCATGTACTTTGTAAATATTCTTCATGTCTTTCATTATTGAGGTGAGAGAGAAAAAGATTTCCTTTATGTAAAACTATCATTGGCTACTCAGGCTTCTTTCCTATCTGAAACCCATTTTATTTTTATTGGTCTCAATTGTTTTTTTCCTATTCTGTGAAGTTCTGGAACAAGAGTCCTGAGATGGCTTTGAGAAGTGAAGATTCCCTAAGGAGATCTTTCAGAGTAGCTCTGGCCTGGTGTTGCCCTTGGAGATGATGGGGTAACTATGATATGATGAGTCACTATGCAAAACAGAAATTGCTCCCTTGAGTAATTTCCTCTTTTTTCTTTCCATAAACTGCCTCATGAAAACACTAAGTTTTCTTCAGCAAACTAAAAGCAAAACAAAGAAAATACTCCCTTTTTTGTTTCAACATTTTTAGGCAGTCCATGGTATATTCCTTAGTTATCTTGTGAAAGTCAGAAATACTCAAATTAAAAAGTCACAACAACATATACAAGAAGTGTAAATAAGTAGACCAGCTATTAGAAAAGTCTCAGCTCTAAAATGAGTCTAGACCTGTGAAGAAGAAAGGCTTAGGAAGAGCATGGAGCCCTGTTTGATGGACTGAACTATAATGATGAGGGATAATGTGGGCATGATGTTCACATTTCCACACTTTCCCCAGCCTTTCATGTGCTTCCTCTTCCATCATCTTATGTTTTCAATAAATTAATCTGCAGCTGGATAGTGGTTAGACAGAAGAGAGTTTTTTCTGCTTGGAGCTATATGACCTTTGAAGTTCCTTCCAACTCAAAGATGGCCTTGAACACCTTCAGGGTTGTAGATGGTCTTGGCTCTGATATTCTCTCATAGTGGGGTGGATCTTCATTTCCCACGTCCCTGCCTGCAGCTCAGGCAGTGTGGGTGGAGCACCTGTGACTCAGACTGAGGCAAGAAAGTCATTGAGTATCTTAACGTCCTCCATATCCCAAGTAACTAGGTTTCCCATTTCCTTCTGGAGGGCCAGCATTTTCACAAGTCTTCCCTGTAGGCACAAAAGCACCTATAGAAGCATTTGGTTTTGCCCTTGATATCTTTGGCCAGATTTAGTTCTATCAGCACTTCAGCTTTCTTAACCTGATTTGGGATGTCATTCATCTGGCTCTAATCTCATGCTTTTAAGCTTTTTTTTTAGTAGTTTGATCTTTTTTACCTCGTTTCTCCGGCTGATAGTGCGTTGTGCCTTTCAGCCAGCTCTCATCACAGATCATTCATTGCATCATGAGCCATTTCGTCAGCTAGTCAAGCCAAAGTTGCTGTATGCTTCATTTGCAGAAATGTAGTAGGAATTTAGCAGTTTTATTAAACTCTTAATGGAGCTCATTGCCTGACTAATCCACAGAGTGACCTTGGATAAGTCATTCAGTTTTTCTGTGTGCTCATACCCTTACCATCCTCACCTTCACCACACCTCTTTGGGCTGTAAATATTCAGCACTGCATCAGTTTCAGGTTTTCACAAGGGAAATTACTTGGTCAGGCTATTTAAACATAGCAAAAGTCATACATATATTCTGAAATAATATCCTAGCAGGGAAGGGAGATAGCTTCCAAGGGGATGTTTTGTGTGCTAAACTTTCCATAGCTAGCAGGTTGGATTAGTGGAGTGTTACTCTACCACTTCAAAATTATTATTAATAATACACAAAAGTAAAGTTTATATAAAATGAGAAAATACTTAAGCTGAGGCAATGGGACAGAAGCCCCAATTGCATTGCAGAGGGAAGTGCACTGTAAACTTCAGATTCAGATTTTATCAATTCAGTTACATGTATGCAGCAATCTTGGCTTTGTAAGAATCTTCTTGGTAGAAACTGAAACTCTAGGGCTAAAAACGTGAAATCAATAGGCACAGTTATATCCACTTCAAAAAAATTTGTATTGATTTGCAGATAACGACAGCAGTTCATTCTTGCAGGATTACATGCCACTTCCTGTCATAAAGATTACTTCAATATGTATTGCATCTGAAATGGAGACTGTAGGGATAAAACTGCTTTGCTTTAATGAATAGACGTTTTACTCTGTGCATTAAAATGAGATATATTCCTTTAAATTTATCTCCAGGGATTATTTTGATTTCATGGGCAAACTCTGTGTTACCAAAGACTCTAGAACACTATTAAACTTTTAAATAGTGTTGGATTGCCTTGTTTTTGCAAGTGCTTGAACTCATCTTCTCTTTGATAGCAACTAATTAAGCAAAATATTGTGCTCTTTCTGGTCTCCTCCACATCCTTGATTAGAGGGTTAACACCATGTTACCTTGGGTATTAGATGTTTTTTGCTAAACCCTGAGTGCCTACCAGCATCTAACTCTGTGCTTTGTAACAAATGTCTGTCGCCTTCTGGGGTTTAAGTTCTCTATTCTGATCATGGTGGTCTCCCATTGAGCAGCCTTTTTCTTCTTTTTTTCTTTTTTTTTTTTTTTTTTTTTTTTTTTTTTTTTTTTTTTTTTTTTTTTTTTTTTTTTATTCCGGTTCTGTGATTTATTTGAAGCCTATTCTCATTACACATAGGTGATTTTGTCTTTGTGTGTTAAAGTAACTCTTTTCAACTCTTTCTAGGTAATCTGGCTTCCCAGAAATCTTCTGCTAAATGCAAGGGTTTGCTGTCCTGTTTACTGACTGTTAGACCTGAGGCTGATTTTGATACAGATTGTGGATATCGTAGGGTAAGTGTGTAGATATCTCTTTTTTTTTTGTGTGTTTTTTCTTTCATGGTGTCTTCCTGGCTTACACAAACACAATTTGGGCATTGCTTTCTCTTTTAGTGGCTGCAGCAAGTCCCAATTGCAGCATGTGCAGCTGAGCATCTGTGTTATAATAGAAAGATATTGTAATATGGTAAATGCTAATGCTGTAAGCCTGATCAGGACTATTTTAATTTGGTGGTGTAGCTCCAAGAGGGAGCAATGTTTTTTGTTTTATATAGGCCTAGACTCATGGGGCCATATTTTATAAAACTGTAAAAAGCTGTAAGAAGCTTATTTGGGCATAGTGAACTTTGAGATTTACGCTGATAAAAGTGCATGTATTTTTATATTACAAATGAATATTTGTATATTACAAATGAATCTTCATAATTTTATATTACAAATGAATCTTCATAATTTTATATTACAAATGAATATTTTTATATTACAAATGAATCTTCATAATGTACATGGTTAAAATATCTCTGAAGTTTACAAGATTGAGTTCAAATATTTGGAAAAGGGAGATAGAAGGTTAGTTGGTTTCTTGGGGGCATGGAAAGGGAAAAGAAATAACTGATTCCTTCTCTTATCCAATCTACTATGCACATTACAGTAGAAACTTAAATACTTCATTGTTGAATGACTCTTGTGGAATTTTTCACCCCTCCTGCCTATGGGAGGAAAGTTCAACTTTGTGAACAGACATTTGACTTTTCATTCTTTTTTTTTTGCTTCTTCCTCAGTCTTGATCCTGCCTGCTGTTTTTCTTGCTTATTCCCTTTTCTAGCTTCTTTTTGCACTTCTCTGTTTTTTTCATTATGGAGCTAATTCTTTGCCTTATGCTGTTTCTTGTCCTCCTGTCTTCCTTTGACCAGCTTTCTGGCTTCTTCCATCCAGATATCTAATTTTTTGGGATAACTCAGGCTGGATAACACTTGTGCAGTTGTCTAGTCCAGCCTCCTGCCCACAGCAACATCACTTTTAAAGCAGGTTGCTGGGGACCATATATGGTTTGGTTTTGAATATCTCCAAGGATGCAAACTCCAAAATTTTGTAGACCCCTGTTACCATGTGTCGCCACCTCATGAAGGATATTTTCTTCATTTATAACCTTAATTTTCGTTATTGCAGCTTCTTTGTTCTTGTCACATCACTGGCCTTTCAACAATAGGCTAAATCTGTTCCCTCTGTATCCCTTCCCTTCCCTTTGGGAAATTATCCCTTCCCTTTGGGGAACTGGAAAACACAGTGAGATCTGGGGGAGACCTCTTTTCTAGACACCACTGTCCTCCACTTGCCTTTCTCCAGTATGTCAAAGCCTTCTTATTCTGGAGGGCTCATAAATCCTGCAGGAAAGGGGAGAATTGCTTCCCTGGGCCTGCTGGCTGTGCTCTCACCAGCACAGCTCAGAATGGACACACTTGTGTTTGTTTCAATGGCATGTTGCAGGCTCAGATTATACCTGCTGTGTGTCAAGACCACTAAGTCCCATATTATTTTTCATATTTTCAGTTTGTTTAATCTTTCTCATATGCTGTCATACATTTCTTACTTCCAGCATTTGCTCTTTCTTCGCAGGATTCCTTATTGAACATCTCAGTATCCCCAGTGCACCTTCATCACAATGTTTCTGGCAACCTCTTCCCATAAATGTGCATGAGCTACACTTTGGAAATAGTGAAACACTCTTGGAAATAAGTTTATTTCCATGAGCAGCTAGCTTAAAGCTTTCCATGTAGCTTTGATAATTTAAAATTATTTTTCAATTCCTGTCATTGGTATATTCACAATAGATCAGGAAATTGTGTGTATGCTTGGGTGTGTGCAAATGTGCATGAGAGAGTGTATTTAATCCTTTTTTCTGTACTGCCAGTACACAGCCATAAATAGTGTATATAATAATATGTATATGAAACTTGCTGGAAATCAAGTTTGAGTTATGAACAAGACTTACTTTATGTTTGTCCCTGCATGTGTGTAAGTGATGCTACAAATTGCAGATGCCAACAACTGTAATTGTAGTGGTGGTTAAATCAAATGTTCTACTCTTTTTCTTTTATTTTTTGTTGGCCCTCATGATGAGTAATACATCTGCTTTTCCTGTATTTTAATAGACCATGTATTGGGAAGTATTCCAGAGAAGGGACACTCAGAAATACAGTGTCAGCTTTAGCTTGACATGATGATCAGATGATTCTTGGGGAAAGGAGATGTAGTCCTGTGGTCCTGGAAGCTTTGCTGCCTGATTCCTTAGGGGAAGGACCAAGAGGACATCAGTAGTCCTGTGCTGAGTTCTTCGTTACTAGTTTGGCCAGGGTGGCTGGAGCTCCTGTACAAATCTCTCTATTTATATCTGCCAAGGATAACAAAATAATGCACTGGAGTGCAAGTGGAGCAAAGAGGGTTAAACAAAGTCAGAGGAAAAAACAATTGAGCAGGAAATAAGAGAAGTGGAAAGAAAGGAAAATGTACAGAAGGGAGGATAAAGACTTGCAAGAAAGTGTGCTGGTTTTAATTCAGAAAAGTGTTGTCCAACTCATGAATAAGTAGTTACACTAGTGCAGCTCATATGGTGATGAGTGACAGTTTAATTCACTTTCTGTGGTGGAGAATGTCTAGTAAATCTGGCTTGTGATAAGTTGCCACATTGCCTAGTCACATCAGTATGAAATGTCTGGGATAATCTTAGGCTGAATATCCAGTTACTGCAAAGTGATTCTGTTGGGCTGTGTGATGCCCATGAGCATTTCTGCCACAGTGGTCTGGTTATATATGTAACAAAAGAATTAAAAAACTAGTAATTTTGAAATGAGAAGCCAGGTGTGTCCAGCTTCTCTTGGAGGCTTCTGTTATATGAGAGAAATAGTTTGAAAAAGCTCTGATTTTCAGGATGGGCTCCCACTGTCTCCTTCTGGTAGTGAGCTGCACGTAGGAGTTGCACACTTGTCTGTCTCACCCATTTTTGGATATTCCTAGTTCAGCTGTTCCCCTTAAAAAGCCTTCTAACTCAATTTCTCTGAAGGATATAAATAGTATTTCTGCATGTTGACTGTAGCCCTGTATATCCTGATAGTCACGTGTGGTTGCAGTTTTTGTATTCCAGCTGAAGAAGTACTTAACCCCAGTGTTTTCTGGTTCAAACTGAATTAATTTTCACCATATGCAGCACCTCTTACAATAGTGCGAGTGGTAGGGAGGAATTTGAAATTATGTTGAGAGCTGTTTTGGTGAAGTTATTTTAATAACTGTGGGTCTCCCTGCACAGCAGACTGATTGATTTTTGGAGTATTTCTTAGGAGAAGAGGTCAGAAAGGTGTGTAAACTCAAATGACCACATGTGTTTAGGAACTTGAGCACAGTGATTGTGTTTTGCTTTTCATTTTTCACAGTTTCCAAGTGGGTGAAAGCAAAGATTTGGATTTGTTCCATTTTATCCATTTCAGAAGAAGGAGCAAGCCAAATAAAGTAAAAAAAAGTTAGTCACAGAAATCCAAGGTCATATTTTGTGGGTGAATTTGTGATAAGCTTTGGGATGCAGCAGAGAAACCCAATAGCAACTTCGCTTGTCTTTGGGATGGTATTCAAAGAGCAATTCACTTTGTAGGGATTGTCTTGTCCAAGCTCCTGCTCAAATCAGGCAAACTGCAGAGGCAGGGCAGGTTGTTCAGGGCTGTGTCCATGTCCAAGAAAGTCCTTTAATACCCCTGAGGATGAGAGCTGTGCAGCCTCCCCACAAAGCCATTCTGCTGCTTAAGCACCTGCTCTGAATTCTTCTTTATCCCTTACTAGATTTTCCCTTGATGCAGCTTGCACCTGTTGCCTCTCTTACTGCACACCCCAGGAAGATTCTGGCTTACCACATGCTCCACACCTTTAACCATGACAAACTGGAGATGTATGGTTATAAAAAGCTCAAATCAGTGCTTCCCAAGCACTTGTGAATCAGGCAGTATTTTGTGAGTTTGCATCCATTTAACAGCATCTGTATTGGGGTTTGGGTTTTTTTTTTGTGTTTTGGTTGGTTTTTAAAATTTTGTCAGAGGTTTTTTTTTTGTTTGTTGGTGGGGGAGGTTGCTTTATGGTTTTTTTTTGTTGTTGTTGTTTGTTTGCTTGTTTTTGGGTGCTTTGTTTTTTTTTTAAAGAGGACTCTTGATTTTATTGTGCTGTTATGTCAGGGAGCAAGGATGGAGTGAGGCACAGACAACACTCAGTCTTCACATCTCTGTAGATGCCAAAACAAAAATACCTGTGTTTGTTTCTGCCTATAGATAGTACATGTCAAGTAGACATGGATTTAGTCACAAAGCTTGGAGTTGGATATGCTTCCCATTCCTGTCTCTTCTACACCCGTCTTAGTAATACCTGCCTCAACTACATGCCTTTAAAATAGAGATTATGCACTCTAATTCACAGGAATGCTACAAGTTCTACAGTAACCTAAATGCTTTTAGTTGCTTAGGTGAAAACTGCTATAAAAAGGTGAAAATATGTATTTTTGTGGTATAAACTGTATGTTTGTACTTGCACAGATTTATGTTAACTGTATACTTTTTGTAGGCTGCTTTTAAACCTAAGAAGTGTTATTCTATAATGCATTGTGTTACTGTACAAATTGGATGCTTTTATCCAAATTACGTGTTGGAAATCAAAGGTGACATACACAGGGGTTGTTAGGATAGCCTTTTTTTCACACAGAAGATTTGGAAGGAGAAAGAAACCTTAGAAACTTGATTCTTTTAAAAAGTAAGTTCTTTTACAAAAGCAGTTAAGTATTCTTTCTGTCAGCTTTAATAATAATGAGCTTTTTGGTGCTGGGATGAGCAATAATTGCAAATGGCAAAAAGTCATCAGAATGTTGTTGCTCTGATTGCAGATTTTATTAATCGTAAAAGAAATGATTCACCTAGAAAGGCTCTTTTATAAATACTCATTTATATGAAGATTTTCTGCTTAATTTATTTTGTTTTTTAAAAAAA